TAAATTATTAACTAAAATACAATGATTTATACCCTGTGAGTCATCAGGAGAGTAATATATTTAAAAAGTAATTATTTATATAAAAATAAATATAAAAACATATAACTAACGGTTTATTATTATGAAAATAACTCTCACATAAGTTTTGTTAGGACGATAAATGATTTGATATAGTAAGACTGATCTGACTTTTGGCTCGTTTACCTTGAGCGTAAAGTAAATTATTCAAGAGACTTAAACTCGCTCGAATCCCTGAAGCATAAATTTCTGCTCGCTTTCAAGGATCCCATAGAGTTTCGTCATGTCTGTTAATTATGACGCTCAAGTTTTATTTTCATTTTAGCTCTTTAACTAACCGTCAACCACGCCCACTCTGCGCCCATCCTTTACCAGAATGTTGAGGTTGCAGCTTGTCAACTTTCTAGTGTGGAGGCCAATGTGTTTAAATTTTGGCCTGCGCGTTCTGCATTTTGCATTTTTCATTTTGCGTTTTAAGTGGCGCTCTTGCAGCAGTACTACAGTTACAGTCAGCCGCACTCTCGTGAGCGAGTAGAGGAATTTGTGCAAGTAGCTGCTGGCGTTGCTGCTGTTGTTGCCACACACAATTTGCTGGCTGGCATTTAGGATAAACGGCTGCCACTTACGGACTGCTTCCGTCAAAGTGGCCAAATCAACGGAGCTCGGATACACACAGCCGGAGAGGAGACGGAACGCCTAGGCCGTGACGCGCACAGCAATAGATAAGCAGATAATTAATTTTTTGCCCTCGCTCGCTCTGCCATAATGAGGCGAAAGATAAATTACATTGCGTATGGGCCACGCTTTGGACCGAGGCGTGAGCAATTGACACTCAATTCATTCAAATCTCAATGCTCGCACGCTCAGTGGGAGGTGCGCATATGTGAGTATGCATAAATGAGTGAATTTAAAGCTGGATGGGTATTCATAATACATAAGTTGGCAGAGGGCTGGCAGAGGGCTGGCAGAGGGCTGGCAGAGGGCTGGCAGAGGGCTGGCAGAGAGAGGCGAGGCTGAAGGACAATAAGAGCGGCTCCAGAAGTCTGTGACAGGGCACATCCAAGACGCAAGCTGAAACGAATGGACGACGAGGTGGGGCGACGGGTTTGCCGCTCCAATTGCCCAATTGAAAGAGAAATTTGTGGCGCGCAGCCCCTTCTTGGCAGCCATTTCGTGACCTGCCGGCGACAAACAAGCGCTAAAGGGGCACACGGCACGAAAGTTTTGACGGCTTCTGCCTGCCAGCCTCGCCCACTCATCCAGCTCGCCTGTCCGCGCTTTAAGCCAGCCCCGGCAACGCCCACGTACATGTGTCGTGCATATTTTTGGGCTCCGTCTGTGCGGCATGTGCACCTGCAGCCAGCAGAATGCAGAGTGCAGAATGGCGAGTGCAGGAGGCGGCCTGCTCATGTCTAGCAAGGACTTGGGCATGGAACTCCCACGCGGCACGAGCACGTGGCATGTGTGCCAAAAACCGAAAATTTGCTCAAACCAATCAAATACGAAACGCAACTCGGTAGTTGCTCGGAGTCGTTGCCATTGATTTTTATCGCTGACGTTTGTACATAACATAAAAAGAAAAGAGGAAATTTAGAAGGAGAAGCAGAAGCAGAAGCAGAAGGCGCAAAACATGAAAGTGAACAATAAATAAGTAGTACAAAGTCGATGGCAAAGATACTAAGCCGACTACAGCTCCAGATACGACAACCTTGAGGAAAACGTCTGAGAATTGTCATATAACATACGAACGGATTGGGGGAGAGGTTGGGGACTAACTAGGCAGCGGTTCAATTAACCCAGTTGGAGCTCATATTGTGGATCGTGATATTGGAATATATGTAGAATGCAAGAGAGTTTTGGCTTGGAAACGAGGCTATACCTACCCGAAAGACTATATATAGCCCATACCCATTCAAATTTATTTTGTTTATAACAATTTCATTATACGATGTTTACTTCGACTGTAATTACTAGGGTATACCATGGGCGACTGCCAAGGAGGAGCTGCATGAGCAAGGAGTAGGCGAAACAAGAAGACGTTCAACATTTTGTTGCAAATCATTGAGAGTGCACTCAGATGCGGAAACGAGTGAACATATAACTCAATAGCCTGTATGCTCTGACAGGCACACACACACACATACCTACATACATATGTGTATGTGGCATATCGTGTAGCTTCTAGGCGCGCTGACTGTTTGTCATATGCACACTCGGCGCATTGCCAAATATTGATTATGCCTTCAAAAAATGAATGGAAATGCGCTTCGCTGACTCGAGCTGCAGGCAGAGGGAGCCGCGCTGCAGATAAAGCTGCCAACGTATGCGCGTCATCAGGCAAAGGACATCCGGGATGGCTAATGCACTGAAGACGGTGGAGGAACCACGACGAGGCCTGTCATAGTATGTCAATTGACCTGGCGTAAATGGCATCAACTTTACGCTGACCCCATTACGAGTTAACTACTTTAATGGGCCAACTAAGCGTTTCTTTAAATATATATAAACTCTATACACAATACAGACACATATTATAGGAAAGTCAGGCAAATGGCGCGACCATCAGCCAATGGCAAAAGTTTTAGTGCTAAATGTCGCGTGACGCTTAACAAATATCCGCACACTCGCCGAGTTTACAAAATAATCCCAACTTTTCGCATTGGCTCATTACTCTAATGTGTCAATCCTGAGAGCTGAGTTAGCACCTGTCGCAAGAGACGAATAACTAGTTCTGGACAAGTTAATGCTAACGGTAAATGTAAAACTTTGCAAAGTATTTCTTCAAGCTGAGATTTTGTTCATTCCCAAAGCATTTGTGTAGCAGGCATTGAATCTCTACACTGAATCTACACAATTCACGCAACTAGATTATGTATTTGGAGGGAGCGTTCCTGTTTATACCCTGAATACGTTGGCAATGCGAAATCGGGGTATATTGGTTTATAATATATGTAAAGTTGCATGAGTAACTTGGTTAGGCACCCTAGTTAGACAATCGCGACAGGATGGCAACTCAAGTTCAAGAAAAACACAGTCTTAGACCAACTTTGATAGTGTAAAAGGCAAAAAGATGTTTAGCTATTAGGTATAATATTAAGATTATTGCTATTTTAAACATAATAAACTCACTATTAAATAATAGATGTTACATATATGCAACAGACAGAAAGAGGCTATTATCGATCAGGGTGTCGAATTGATTTGATTAGCCCTTTTCGTTTGCTCTTATGTGTGAGCCCATCGATCTGAGAATCTGTAATAGTCAGGGACTTGACTATAAAACACTCCCAATATTATATATGCTATATACAAAGCCCAATAATCGATATCCACTGATATCGATCAAAATCAGCCACTAAAGTAAGCTATTAGATTATATAGTTAACTATTGCTATAAAATGTTGTCTAAGTTATGCAACTTTTATTTTGACTTTATATTGGATTGCAGCATTCAATTTTCCTAAATTCATTAAGGTAAATATCAGTTGACTTGTTATAAGGCGACAATTACTCAAAAGAATATATATGCTCGCATGCAGACAATTTCAATAAATTCCGTTAATATCAAAACAATCTTTGGGTATGTTTCAAAACCCTGGGTATCTCTTAGCTGGGCAGCCCGACTATAATTTTTTTTTTCACTTTTTCTGCTGTAAATTTCTTAAAACATCTTTGTCCGTCCCTGCTGACAATGGAATTGGCAAAGCCATTAAAAGACCTGCACTCCTGCCGTCCCCCACTTGACGACACTCGTGGAGCACTGTTTGTGTGCTCTTTTATCACCTGTGAGCTGGCTGAGACATTGGGCTTTGATGGAATCGACGCCCGCTTACTCACTCACAAGTTGTCAAAACTCATAAATTAAGACAACACACCCTGCTGCTTATCACTTGACTTATCAAGCGTTCAAAATATTTATGTATATAAATATCTCTATACATAAATATCTGAAGCTATATATATGTATATATCAAACCAGAACAGCCCTAATGCTATTTGACAACTCGGAAACGTGTTTGCGCAGCTTGTTTTGTTATCGATAAACGAACGCAGAAGAAATTTTACTGCCTCAACGAGTCGAGTTGAGCGGAGTGAAGTGAAGTTGGTAAAGTACGTAAAGTAGCATGTCAAATTAGAACGCTAATTGACTCATAACTGGGGGGCACTCGACCGCAGCTGGTGGCTGGCAGGAGGCGGGCGCAGCAATATGCAAAGCTGCCTAAATTAGTCGAAATATCGATTGAATTAACATAATTTCATAGTGAGTACGCCCCGAGGCGCACTAAAAATTAATAATCATATTCGAATATGCAGATGTGAGTTTAGAATTTGCAAGTCAACTAGATGGTGTGGAGTCAGTTAGCCCCGGTTTACTTACCTCGCTAGAAGTACACGCACAGTTAGAGCTGAGTGTAGAGCTGAGTGCTTAGATTGCAGGTATATTTATATAGACTTTAGTTATATAGACCTTTTATATAGTTGTAGTAGTTACACAGCGAGAGAGAGAGAGAGAGAGTTTTTAGAGTTAGAAACGTCGTCGCTCGCTTTCCGCTTTGCTCACTTCGGAGCCTACGCACTGAGAGGCCTTTTCCGCTCAAGCTGCGGTGGCTTACATTTTCCGCTTCGAATGGCCACCAAATTTGTCACAGCCACACGCGTTTTCTGGGAGGCAACATACATATTTTAAAGAATATACATATATAATATATATGCTCCACTTGGCTCAGTTATTGCACACACACACACACAGAGACACAATTGCACACAATGCCCCAACAAACAACAACAACAATATTTACTTTTTTTCTAGATCTATTAACCAGCGGAAAATACGAGCACACAGGAGAAATGGCAGCAGACACAAACAAATGCGGGGTCAGAGGCAAATAAAAACTTATTCGGTTGTCATTTATGATAATGCGTATACGCCGTGCTGGCCACGGGCTTCTATGAAATTTACAGAAGTCGCAGCTCGGTTATTTCGTTATATTTGTCCTCACGTTTGCGTCGTCCGTTTGTCTGCACTGTTGTTCGCCTATCTGTCTACGCTTTGCTTGCCTACCCTCTTCCTGTACGCACATACGATTGTGTGCGTGAGTCTGTGTGTGTGTGCGTGCGTGTGTGTGTGTGTGAGTGTGTTGGCTGTAATGTTGTTCTGGGTACACGCCTTACTTCAAAAGCATATTCACTCGCACAATTATTCAGTTGCTTTGCTATTTCGTGTCGTCTCGTCTTCTTCTTTTCTTGTTCTACTGAGTCAACTTTGGCTCGACACTCGACACTCACGGCTCAGTTGCCAAATTGATATATTTGTGTTGTTTCTTATGCAGATTGTTTAATTATTAAGTTTCAATTTGCATTCACATGCCAACGCTGGCGGGGCTCTATCCGCTTGCAACAATTTCCAGCACAACACGCTCCAAAGTTTAGCCACGAACTGAGCCAGCCAAGGCGAAACTTCACATCAAGAAGCGAAAGCCCGAAAACGAGAACCGAACAACACCAAAGGGAAAAGGAAAGCAAAGCCGAAACGAGAGGCTTCCCTTCCAATGCCTGCGTACAATCCTTTGTGCGAGAACGAACCAGCACGGCCGAGGCACGTACCATGCGGAATGTGTTATTTTGGAAGCACTCTCAAGGTGTTTGTTGTTGCCTGGAAGTCTCTACAAGTCTCTCTAATTCACGCGCGCTCTCTCTGTGTCTCGCCCGCTCTCTCTATTTGCCTCTCCCCCTCCCCTCCAACGCTCTCTGTTAAATGCGGACTGTGCGTGTCCTGCGCTCTTTGCTGTGTGTCTGCATACCACAGTCGCTGTTTGGTTCACTGTTACACACACACACACACACGCCCACACAACACAGAGACTTCTGCATGTGTTCAATTAGTTTTGATACCAACTTTGGTTGCCGACTTTTAGCCACTTAATGCTCGCAGACAATTGCAAAGTTGTCTTTTAGCTGCGAATCTTGCGTTTCGAGAATATTTTTCGTTGATTTCCTGCGGTTTTTTTTTGTGTTTTTTTGTCGTCTATACTAAAAGTTTTTAAACATTTATTGGCCGTGCTTATGCTATTTGTGCGGGCGCACAAAAAATTGTTATAAATAGCTGCCGGAGGCCTCGTCAGCAGCGGCGACGACAGCCGCGACAACATCAAGTTCAGGCCGTGGGGAATGAGCTGAGGCAAGGCTAGGCAAGGTGGGGGGAGGGGAGGTGAATCGAGATGAGGCGGGGTGTATGTAGGAAGTTGAAACTTTTGACCTTAGTCAAGTAAAAACGTGACTATATGTCTTCACCTTGTTTTCTCACACACACACATTCTCTCTCTCGCTCACTTTTTCTCTCTTTGTTTATCTGTGTGTGTCTATCATTCTGTAAACAGTTTATGCGCCTAATTGGCGTACCCTTTGGGGCTGCCGATGCGGCCTTTAGTTAAAGTCGCCTGCCGAATAATTAATGCAACTGCAAGTTGGCCCTAGCCACAGCTACTAACGGCTAATTGCCAACAACTGACTGCTAGCTAATTACAGCTGCTGCATTAATAATAAGTTTCAAGGGCTAGCAGACGACGCCGCGCCCAGTTTGTTTGACGCATACTCATGAATTTATGAATCCAGAGCCCATCCACCCCGCACACCCCACTCAGACCCCACTCGGATCCCTCGGCACTCATCCTTCCGCCTGCTGCTCAACGCTTTTATGATTATTGCGACGCCGCGTCTGCGTCTGGCCCGTGTTTTTTTTTTTCTTTTTTCTTCCCCAAACTGACGCCAAACCCCGTCCCCCACGCCCACAACCCCTACGAATGTTGTCAATCAAAAGCCCAGCCCTGTGGACCAGATTCTCTGCTGGGCTCACTAGTTGTTGTTGTTCGTGTTGTTGTTACTGCTGCTGTTTGGCAATTTGTTGTGTTGTTTGCCTAGTTTTCGATTTTTGTGCCATTTATCTGTTGTAAGTGGATGGAGAGGGTAAAGGAGCGACCAAAGGAGAGGGAGACGGAGTAGAGTGGACTGTAAATGCGGTGGGCATTATTAATGTGCGGACATTTGAATGTGTGGAGCCCCATGTGCCAGCTAGGATTAGACACTTCAGGATCATAGTGTCCTTTTGGCTGGCCAAAAGGCAGTTGCCCCTCCAGCCCAGCTGAAGAAAAATCAATGGATTGACTTTGGCTGCTGTGTGGCGGCCGCTATTTTCTGCGCTTTAAACGCGTCACTAGGAATTTGCCACACAGCCATTTTGCAGCTGTGTCTGTTTATGTGTGTGTGCGAATACTTAAGGCATTTTGTGGTTTTCTTTCTTTGCGTGTAGTGTCACTTGATTTATTTGACGCTTTTCAGCTTAATTTCTGTTATTTGTTTGTGCGTATTTTTTTCGTTTGATTCTTGGCTTTTTGCATTTGTCGAACATATTTCATGAATTTGCTCAGCATTTCGCTTGGTTTCTGCCACAATTTGTCGCAGCACTTTTACTTGCACTTACACGCATCGAATCGTATCGCAACGCATCGGAAATGGCATCGGGGACCGCTACGATTCGGTTTTCAAGGTAAGCACTACCGACGCGTTCACATTAATGCACTGGGCATACTTTGATTTCAATTTTTTATTTTGTACACACGCTTTTCACACTCGCTTTGTATTCGTTTAGTTGAATTTCTTGTATTTGCTTTGCTTCTGCCTCCTCCTTCTTCTTCTTCCTCGTCGTGCTCCTCTTGTTCTTTTTGTGTACAGTTTGTGTTGTTGTCAGCCCTTGGGCGCACTCGGACAGACCAAAGTCGAAAACTTTCGGTACACTGAAGGCGACTGACTCAACGATTCGACGACTCGACGACTCAACGCGTCACGTCACAACACGTCCGTATTCAGCTGTGGCCGTTACTCCACTGAACTGATGATGGCGTTGGCAATGGCGACCATGTCAAGTTTTTCACAATGGGAAAACTTTTTCACTCGCCTCGCTCGCTCGCGCTCATTTCATGTCTCTCGCATTCTTTACCGCGCTCCTCTCTGCCTCTTTCTCTCTCGCTGCCTCTCTCTCTCTCTCTCTCTCTCACTCGCTCTCTCTTTATCGCTCGCTGGCATAATTTTTGCTTCTGTTGTTGTTGTTGTTGGTGGTGGGTGATAAAGCACAAGCGACCCAGACCCATAGAACGCGTTAATTTTCGCTGTTTTCCTTCTGTTGGTTGGTTAACTTTTTCTTCATTTTCCTGTTATTTTTGCGAACGTTTTCATTCATTGTCAACTTGCGGCATTTTCTATATCTCTCTGCCTCTCTCGCCCTCGCTCTCGTACTCCTCGCTGTTGTTTTCGCACTGCTATCAGTTGTTAAGAGTTTTTCTCTTTCTATCTTCATTTGGACATTTCCTTTGGACTTTATTATTTATGGTCACTTAGTTAGGGCACGTGACAGTTCATTATGCATAAATTTAAAACATATGGATTTGCTGTTCTATTTTTTTTTCGTTCTTGTTTTTATTTTGCTTTATCGCTTATTTAACGGGTGGATCTATTTGTGTATTTGGATTTTGTCAGCTAGAGAACTTTTCTGCTTTTTGCGGCAATGAATATAAATTACCAATTGACAACATATTGCCTTTGAGGCCAACAAGCAACACTTCAATTCTACCCATCTTTTAAACCATTTCATGGTCAGTTAGGTATTGTTTTCTATTCTGGCAGTTACTAAGTTTATTTATTTATTTATTTTTTTTTTTTAATTTATAATGTTCTTATTATATAAATATATCCAGTAAATATGAACGGAAAACTAGCAGAAATAAAAATTTTCAAGCTAACTGACTATTACGATTACAACTATTTTTTAAAATACAGTAGAATTCGGTTTTTCCGACTCCGCTTATAGCGTCCGTACGGTTACTGCGACGAAAATTCGGGCCCCCAGGTATACTTGTATAAGCAGATTCATATGGTTATAGCGATTTCCGGATATAGCGACGGTCCCTTGAGCGTCGCTATAACCGAATTCTACTGTAATAAGTATAATATGTACATATAAATAATATGTATAGATTAAGATTAAGACAACTATCAATATAATAAAAATAATAAGTATTAAATTTTAATAATAGTTATAAAATGTTCAATCTAGATAATAGTTATATAAATATATTTGTAAACTACTCTTATTTAAAGCACCTATTAAATAATTTTTCATCTTCAATATTTTTTTATTTTCTGTACTATTAGCATATATATTTTTCTAATTAAATGCTTATGATTTATTTCAAATTCTTATTAAATAATTTTTTATTTTCAAAATTCTTATTTTGTACGTCACAAAGCAATTTCGAAATCAAACGTGCTGCGTGCGTTACAAAGCAATTAGCTTTTGTCATGCACAGCTGCTCGCAGCAGATAACACAACCGAAAAGGCAAATATGTAGCTATTTCGCTCACTCTATACGAACAACAAACCGCGCACGATTTACACGCGTTTTTCGCGCGGTTTCTCTGCTGTTTGCTGCTGGCAGTTCGCCGGGGGCTTGAAAATAAAACATAAAATAAATGATTGTTAGCGCAACGTTAAAGAAACACTTGATAGATCAATGTCGATAGGCACTGCCTCAGTGACTACAGTGGCAGCAAATTGGACGCATATCGAACACTATCGACAGACACCAAGAGCAACAAGTTGATGTTTTCATTAACCAACGACGCCGCCACCTCCGACACCGCCGACGACTATGACGACTGCGACGACCACGCAATAGGCCAGCAAGTCAGTTAGCCATCTCGGCAAATCAGGCAACATCTAATTAACAATTTCGTAATTGAAACCGAGCCCTGCTCGTTGGCAGGAGGAGGAGGAGGGGACCGGGCAATAAGTTACGTCTCTGGCAAGCGGTCCCGATACATCGATACATGGCGCAGGGCTTTTGATTAATGGGCAGCTTAAGTGATACCGGGCAGCTGCGCCGACTGAGCATTCAGCCAAGAAGAAAGACAAGCCCTGAGCTGATGAAGTCACTAATTTGACTTAAAAACGCATTAAAAACCATTTTCGATAAAAAGCACCAAATAGCCGAGCGAAGATCGCGTGAGCCATCCAACTGCCAGGGTTTTTCCGTATTTCTCGATACAGCCGTAGTCGCACACACAGCCTAGGTCAACGTTCATTGCTCTATCGAGTCTTGTGAAAGTTGGAGCAACAAAGCCAAATTGTATATAACTGTAAAATAATGTGCAAATATATTAACAAGTTACCTAATTAAAGTTCTTAAAGTTTAAACAAAACTGCCACAGGAATATTTATAGGAATAGGAATTCAATATGCTAAAAGTAATTCGGTAATTCGAGTAGACTAGATACTTTAATATGCAATTTGAAAATACTTTAAACTTGAATGCAAATATTATTAAATTTATAATTTAAATTTTCAATGGATTAGTTAACTATAAATATATACAAATATTTTTTTGTATATTATATTATAATTACAATTTAAAACTAAGGGAGAGGAAGAAGGAGAGAGAGTATTTGAAGTCAATAGCAGAAATCAATAAGCATACTTTTTATGTAAGAAAGAAGGTATTGATTTAAATGGTTTGCTGAGCGATATTCACTAACTGTAGCTTTGTTGGGGCCTCCCACAATAACGCCTTTTGCGTTGCTATAGAGAAGAAGGCTTGGGCCCGACTTGACAAACCGATGTTTGAATTCATAGATCTATTTGCCAAAAAGCCAGAAAACAACAAACAACCAATGAACAAACAACACACACACGCACACACAGAGAGACATGTATAAAGGAGATAAAAGCCAAAATAACCTTCATTGGCCATAAAAATCAAAAGCAACAGCTAACAATGAATTGTGTCTATGGCCAGCCAACAACAAAGGCAGTCAGCAAAAAAAAGAAAAAAAAAAAGAAGAATAAAACAAAATGAATACAAAAACAAAAACAACAATAATGGTAAATTTACAATTTAAATAAATTCACTTTATTACAGTTTCGCATATTCGCGACAATGTAAAACAAATAATAAAAATTGACAATAAATAAAATAAAGTCAGTTTATTGTTTGAATGACTGGCTGGGCAGCTAATGAACTTCCGGTCTATATCTCAGCTGGAGCTGGAGCTGAGCTTAACTGGCCAACTTGGCCAAATGCTCAAGACTATGACACACTATGCATCACTTGGTCAAAAAGTTCAGAGGTTGAGCGATCGATCAGTCAGAGTTGATCCGTATATGCGCCTACAGCAAAGACCTCTCTTTCACTCGTATTCGCCTTCTCTCTCTCTCTCTCTCTCTCTCACACTCTCTCACTTTAGGCACTGTGGTTGCTAGCGCTGCCGGCGTCATAGACTCACTGTTGGGCTCAGCTCTGGTCGGCAGTTGAAGCCAAGTTTGGTGCGCGCGCTCAGTTGGCAACGAGCTGCAGCCACGATTGGGCTGGCCGCGAGATACGGAAACCGAAACTGAAGCCGAAATTAAAATTGAAATTGAAATCGAGTTTAAACTGAATTCGAAATTGAAGCTGAAATTTAATCAAAACATTAAAATACAAAACAAAATTGATATCTTTGACTGGCGTCTGCCTTTCTACGCTCGAACGTGCAAAGTTTTTGTAATTAGTCGCATATTGAACAACATCGTTGAGTTGTTTGCCGCAACACTAAATAAAGCCACAATCAAAATCGAAAGAACAACAAATACCAGGAGAGAAAACAACAAAAACGCAAGAGCTCAATTCGATTTCAAGCAGCGATCTAAATCGCTCGAGTGCAGTGCGAATTTGAAAATTGTTTATGTGAAAAGTCGATTCGATTTGATAAACCCAGTCTGATTAATTAAAGCTCCATAATAAGTTTTGTTTTGATGAGCGCAAGTATTGAATTCATTTTTATTTATAAATAAGCAAAGGTGAGTAATTAATGAATGATTTTTTGTTTTCGTTTTTGTCTTTTGTGCATATGTATTCATGTATGTAGGTTCAGTTTGCCTTCTGCTTGCCGCCAGAATAATCCAAAAACTGTATAAAAACTCGTCTAAGATAGAACACAACAAAAATAAACTGATTTATTGATTGAGCTTATGTGTTATGGAAAGTTTGGAGCACTTGCTTCAAAAGTTGAATGAAAATAAAAACAAAAACGAAATAAGATCAACGCAAATTAAATAAAATGGAGTCAATGAAACCGAAAAAAATCAACCAAGAGTAACAAATACAAAAACAATAACAAAAAACCCCAAAAAATTAAAA